CCCATCCCCACCCCTGCCAATCGTCCTCACTCCTGCTGGTGTGCTCCAATTGCAGATCAACTTTATCTTTCTCTTCAACATTGTCCGCATCCTCATGACCAAACTCCGGGCATCCACCACGTCTGAGACTATTCAGTACAGGTACCTGGCTCCCGATGGCTACTTCAGAGGGTCCAGCCTCCTCTGAACCAGATCTCTTCCAAGCCAGTCGGTCAACCCCGAAACAGCCGCTCCACCTTCCCAGACATCCCTGAAACCATCTCCCAAACCCATCACTCTCCCCAGAGCTAGCAGCCCCACCCCTCCTGGGTAGCCTGTGACTCTGGCCTTTCTCCTACCTTAGGAAGGCTGTGAAAGCCACTCTGGTGCTGCTGCCCCTCCTGGGCATCACCTACATGTTATTCTTTGTCAACCCTGGAGAGGATGAGGTCTCCAGGGTCGTCTTCATCTACTTCAACTCTTTTCTGGAGTCCTTTCAGGTACTACCATCTTCCTGAGCCTTGCCAGTCCAGCTCAGGATGGGGAGGTGGGGCATGGACTATATTTGTGCCTGCATGGGTGAGGATCCTTCTGACAGAGGCCTGGAGGATTGTGGGCTGGGGCAACCTGGGCTGGTAGGACCCCATTCCCCTCTGACTCCCCTCTGACTCCCCTCTTCCCTTCAGGGCTTCTTCGTGTCTGTGTTCTACTGTTTTCTGAACAGTGAGGTAAGGACCTAAGGCCATGGCTGAGCCTACCAAGATTGGGAACTGTCCCCTCATGTCTCTTCTGCCCTAGGGTGGCTTCCGTCCCTCTTCCCAGGTCCCCATGGGTTGCTGCAGGGAACTTTGAGAAGTCCCTGTCCCTGCTGATCTGCACCTGTGAGGACAGCTCCCCCTCTGACTTTAGGCATGTCAGGGGTGGGCATGCTGGCTGGTAGATAGGGTCTCAGTGAGGGAGGAGTCAGGCAAGGTAGAGATTCTGTGTGGCAAAGGCCAGGTGGTACATTTGTTAGACTAGAAAAAGGTGTTCCTTTCTCACAAAAAAAAAAAAAAAAAAAAAAAAAAAAA